AAACGGCCAAACGCTCACCTTCACTGTGAGTACCGATCTCGTGGAAAAGAAAAAAAAAAAAAAAATAACCGGTACTCGCGCAATCATCTCTAATTCGCGAACTACTTTCTAAAATAAAATACACCCATCAATGTACGCGCTTGTGCTGCTTAATGTGATGTGTACGCCGACCTTATGTGTATACCCGTGTGTATATCTATTGGTGCGATCGGCGCCTGAGAAATGAGAGTCCCGGCAAATTGCAGATTCGCCGGGCGATTAGAAATCGATTTTCCACCGTCGTTCGACTCACTTTGGTTCAAAGAGAAGACGCTTTGATTTAGTACACGGAAAACGAGGCATTGATCCGCGCTAACCCCGGATTATGACGAATCGGTTGTGTCTGTACTTGTATACCACACTGTGCGGTGATCGATCGATATCCAGCTGATCGCGATTTTTCAATGGCTTATCGGGCTTACGAAGCGTGCCCGCGTTGTACAACGTATACTTACGGCGACGAAAGGCAAAATATACTCATATCGATCTTGGGCACAATAAGTGAATCATGCGCCTTGCGATCGACTATGGAGGTATCTTGAAAAGATGAAATTTCGAAATTTAAAATTCGATCGGCTCTTGAATTTCAAATCAAGCCAATCAAGTATATACGTTCGGCTGGTCGTTTGAATGAGAAATGTAACTACCGAATCAGAAAAACCGCCCGCAGCTTCGAATATTTGAAATTTGAATAAGCGCAGCCACGTAGGTATATACATACCGATCATCGTAACGATTCGTACGTATGCATGAACACGAAAACAGTGATCAGAGTTCGGAGAAGCTCCATCCGAAGCAAACGGCATAGATACGGGGGTACTTTGTACCTGCACATGGGGGGGGGGGAAGAAGCTCCGACAGTTGCGCTCTTTTTTTTTCGGCATCAGAGATAACATTCAAACGGCATCTTTGATTGGCAAATAAAAAGTCCCTCTCTCTTCCCTCGATCGGCAATCGAAATCGGATCGGCCCAGCGCTTCGACTCGCTTGCACTTTTTTTTCCCCTCCCGATGCGCCACACCGCGTCTATTGGCTTTCGCTCTCGCTTGTGGGAAACAGCCCGAGGTGGGGACGACGCGGGTGATGCTTGTTTATACTTTGTGTATATACTATAATGCATGCGAAGGAAAAAAAAAAAAAAAAAGAAGAAGAAGAAGAAGAAGATGCGCGTATATACGGGTCCGGAGAGGGTGTGGACCCCGAAAACTTGTGTGTATATAGGCTTGGCCCCGAGGGGGAATACGTATCGACGCGTTTCGGCATTCCTGGACTGAAAACGGGCTTTTGCGCGCAACGCTGGGAATGAGCGAGCGGTGAATGATCCCATATACACATGTATCTTTAGTCGTGAAAGGCCGAACGAGTTGGCTTCTGTCTCTCGCTTGTTTGCTCATTTTTCCCCCGGCAGCGAGCTGCTTTTTTTTGCCCCTTGCACCGCAAATTGCGGCCGTCGTCCTCTTACCGGGCTGTACACCTCGTTTCTAGAGCTCCTGTCTGTCTTTCTGTGTGTGTGTGTGAGGGAGGGTGGGAGTCGCAAAAAACTTTTTGGATTCCTTTTACATTTATTTTCCTTCGTTTTTCGTTGCTCCCCGCGAGTGACCGGGTTTCGGGGTGAACTGCACTTGGCGATGTCCGTGCAGTGCGTGTGAATACGCGATTTTTTCGAATCGGTAATGGGAAAGCCGTCCAGCCGTCTGTCAGTTGGTTTCGCTCGCGAGAGATGAAGAATGACGTCGAAAGTACAGGTTGGTGCGAGAAATTCCAGGCTTTTGCGCTTTTAGGTGGGAACTTTTTTTTTCCATTCGTCAAGTTTACACGCCCTGGAAAGAGTAGGAGTTGGGTGATTGAGTGGATTTAAATGACGTAATTATCGAGGGGGTCGGGATCGTTTGGAAAACCTTCTTTTTTTTTTGTTTCATTGACGCTCGTCCGATTTTTTACTTTTGTAGTCCAATTTTTCAAATGCTCTACCACAAATACAGTGATGCCAATCTGCCCGGCACATCATTAAACTCTTTTAGTTAAAAAAAGTAAACATTCCGAACTACGGCAAAAAAAAAGATGATCCTGAAATACGTGATAGAAAAATCGAACGAGACAAACACATCGAAACTCGATACGAGAGATGAAGAAGCCCACGTGGGAGCGGGAACCGTGTGTGTTCCGTGACACAAGGGGAGAGGCCTGGGAAGCGCCGCCGGCTGGTGGTATACGGTCAGCACCGACTCGGTTTTTATTTACCAGATCTCTTATTCCTCTCTTTTTAATTTCACGTATATATACATATACATACAAGTGACACCAACATATGTACCTCCTCGTCTCGTGTGTGCGAGTATATGCATGGTGACTCTTTCCGTTATTATGCTAATAGGCCTGGATTACACGCGACTCTCCGTGCATCTCTACACGCTCGTTGAGATTTTTTTTTATACAAAAATCTACCTCGCCCGAGCTGATACATTTTTTTCGGCTTTTCCAACAGCTGGAATCTTCGACCGCGCTTGACAGCTGTCCACGCTACTGCCATGTGTGTTTCTTTTTCTTTTAACGCCGGAATGAATTTTAAATTACATTAATGTCCACTACTTTAGTTAAAGTTTTACTAATTGAATCATTTGTAAGCGGTAGCTAAATTTTTTTTTTTTTTTTTTTGTTAGTGACACCCAACATAGTATTTATGGGATGCACCAATTAACTTTCATTGGATTAAGATGTCTTATTATGGAACACCGGTGTAGGACTACTAAATGGTACCGATTGGAATACGAAATCAACAATTTTGTTTACCAAGCAAATAGTGAACATTTTCGCAACTTAGACAGTGTACTTTTTTTTTACTTTAATTATCCCAATTTATGAATTTACACGTGCAAGAAATTCGTCCAAATTTAGCCTTGTTTATATAAATTGTATGCGAATCAAAAGACGAAATAATTGAGTGTAAACCATTATTGAAATTCCACTATTAATATTAATAACAGTAATATTACGCTGCAGAATCTATAATTGAATACTTGGGTTTAAAATGGATCGGTGTTACATAGTTCGTTTCACTGTAACGTAATATTATCATCATTTAATAAGACTCGAGATGGGCATCTTGATAAGAAAACTTACGGCATTGATAATAATTGGTTCTGTTTCTTTTGATAAACTGACAGATAATCGTCATTAAAAGCTGGCGTGGGTCTACGAGTGCGCGATACGAAAGAGGAAATTTTATCAATATTTTTTTTTTTTTTTTTTTCATTGTAACGTAATTAGGAATTTTAGTTACATCAGTTTCAGATATTTGTTTTGGAAAGGAGATCATTCTTTTTCTTTTTAGTCTTATTAATTTATTTATTTTCTTTCTTTTTTTTTACCTTTATAGAGAACAATTTCTTTTTTTATAATTTTACAAATAAAAAAACGTTAAGCATTAAAAACAAAAACACGAAAAAATCGAATACAAATTCAAAAGATGCCTCTAAAATCAGGCATCACAGTAGCACAGCATCCGCTCCTTACATTCACCAGATAGATGTACTGTATACACGAAGCTTTGATTTAAATTCAATATTTGTGCTAGGTGGTGAAAGGCCTTGCCTTCATGTGCGATGGTGGTGTAATGGTCAGCATAGTTGCCTTCCAAGCAGTTGATCCGGGTTCGATTCCCGGCCATCGCATGTAATTTTTTTTTCTTTTATTAGCAAAACTTTAATTTTTTAAATTTGTATGCACAACAATTGTTAAGTATTTATTTCTTTCGTTAAAGAAATCGATCTTCCATACTCACTTTGATAATACTTAAATACGAACACCACTACATAGTCCACTAAAATACGAAACTTTCAAAAAATGTTGCTACAGATTACATATTTTTAAGTTAACATATAATCCTCTTACGAACGTATAATAAAATATATTTTTTTCAATGATTTTAAACGTTTTCAACCTAAACTTAAAAAGAAGAAAAGAAAATTTAGAGAAGAAAAATATATCTTCTGTACAACAACACGTGTTTACCGTACTCTTGTATACATGTAAGGTCAGTGTTTATAACAATATATCAATTTGTGTAAAGAGTCCTTATGAGAATCAATTATACAAGTATCAAGGTGATAGAGGTTGCCTGTTAATAATTTGTATATATTTATACATATTAGATCCATAAAAAATATTATATACAAACACTTTAATAAAAATTGTTATAAAAAAATCAATGCCTATAAGATTGTGGTACACATAGTGTATACTCTCTAATCTGGAGCCCTGGGGAGTCGAAATCCGAATAACCACTTTTTTTGCGTGCCCCCATGAGGTTTTTCTGTATACACATATTTATGTTTAATATGGCACATCTGAATAATAAATACATGTAACCTAAGGACAATATATTGAACTGATACCTGTTCATGTACTTGTACAATATATTGCATTACAATATTGATTACCAGATAATATAGTGTAGCCAAACGATAGTACTCTTATGTTATAGTAGAAAGTGATTTCCACCATCTGTTTTGACTGATGACATGTAATAAAAATTATTTCAACATTTAGGAGCATCCGTTATTGTTTGATTGCATTAATGCCACGTAAATCGTGACTTCGAAAAGCGTTCGATAAATCGATGTCACACGTTACATTTTTACCACGAATATTTTGGTCGTGAAATATAATTATTGATCAAATTTGCAGTTAATGCATTCACTACACTATTCCGTTATTTTATTGAAAAGAGAAACGTACCTTTGAGCACAATTTCATATGCAGAAAAGCTGATATATTTTTGATTAAAGCTTTTAGTAAAAATTTTAATTTTTTCCCCTGGTTTAGCCACTATGAATGATCACTTTGCAAATATTTTAATCCAGCGGGTCTACATGCAAATAAATTACAGTTACAAAAACTACTTTATCTCAAACTACTTTGCCACTTATACTTAATTATGCCCTTCATAAACCTTAATATGGGCGATGGTGGTGTAAAGGTTATCATGGTTGCCTACCAAGTAATCGATCCGGGTTCGATTCCCGGCCATCGCAGGCTTACGGTGCCATTTTTTTGATATACATTTAATTTAAAAATTGTATTGAAAACTTTTTTTTCTACTTAGCATTTATTTAATATTCACTTTCTCATTAAGGTTATACATTACTTAAACTAGGAACATTATTTTCAATCGATGGCATTAAAAGACTTTTATTAAATAAAAAAGAAACAAATTCATTTTTTTTAACGGTAATATATCTTATGACGTGAACTAACTTATTATTGACGAGAAGTTTATTTAATAAAATGTAACATACTTTAATCAGTACTTTAATAAAGTGATACTTGCCACAAAAAAATTAATTAAAGTAACATTAATTTAAATGTTTACTCATGAGCTTTTTTTTTTATTAAAGTTTTTTTATTTATCGTGGTTCATTGACCAAAATTTTACCAAAATTTTAATTTCAAATATTCGATAGCAAATAAAAAATGCAAATGTGTTGACAATGTAAAAACGTTTTCAAACAATTAATAATTTAGAGTATAAGTATGCAACTTTTATACACACCATTGTTTTTTTCCAGACATTTCATCCATCATTCTAAAGTACTTAATAGTACAAACGTAAAAAATGATTATTAATTAAAGTTGACAAAATACAAATATTCATCAAAAACAACAATGAGAAGAAAAAAAATGTATTTGTCATAAAAAAGGCATAATAAAAAGACACACGCGTAAGATGAAATATATCGCCAACCTGTTTGCCCCATATAAGCACCAACTCGATGATGATTTTAAAAGTGACATAATTGGATGACGACTACTTATATATATATAT